TTCCCCAGAACGTTTGTGTAGAGTGCCAGTGACAGTTCGGGAATAAAGAATTGCTGTTTGAATCTACAAGGCTGTGAGTGGCTCGTGATTTTGTGCCCAGCCAGACTGCGGCATTTATATAGCCAAATAAATAAATAAATAAATCTATATATAGATTGCATAAATAAATAAATGGGGGAAAGTATAAAAATTTCTCAAGTAGAATTCCAAATAATTTATAGAGATGCTCCATTTTCTATGTGGTAGATGTCAACTCCCAACTTGCCCTTCCAAAGACTACAGTATGGAAAGAGGGAAATAAGAAAGCAACTTGGGCTGGAGACACCTGACCAACACTACTTCAGCCAGATGGTCAAGGTCAGCACCAACACTGATACGCTGATAGCATGAACCCTTGCTAAGATGAGATGAAATGGCACTTGGTTGTGAGATCTCCCTTCCCCAAACCTATAATTCCAGCCTAATCACAACAAAAGCCTCAGACAAACCCCACTTGAGAGTTTACAAAGTAGTTAGTCAATACTCCTCAAAACCATGAGTCTTCAAATTCAAGGAAAGCCTGGGGATGTCCACAGCCATGAGGAGCCTGAGGAGACACAATGACTAAGCGTGATGTGGGACCTTGGATGCAACACTTAGCCCAAACTAAGGAAATCTGCATCAAGCCTAGACTTTAGTTAACAGTAGTGCAATAAGCGTGTTCGCAGATAGTGACGAATCTCACACACTTATTTAAGATGCTTAAATATGTGTCCCAGGATCCAGAGACAATCACTTATAACTTGGAAAACATAAATTTTCTACACACATTTAGAAGCCTTTAATTGTGTGCTAAAATTGCAATTTTTCTATAAATCGAAAGCTGTTAACAAAAAAATAAAGTTTTGTTTTTTTACATTATTTACCTAAGTGCTTTTGGTCGAAGTATTGTAAAACAAGAATTTGTGAAGAGATGGTATCTGTCGTTAGCAATTCCTTTTGGCAGAATCAAGATAAGAGCTTTTAATTTGTCATCATTGTTACCTCCCCTCAGAATCTCTTCCCAAACAGCAAATGATTACTCACTATGTAATTTTAATTTCAAATAAAAGATTTATAATACATACATGAGCACTTTATCCTTCCAGTGCACTTCTAAAATGTTTCATAACAGAGGTCTCCATAGCATTAATAAGTGCTAACCTACCCCAAATTTGATTTCAGGCACTTTTGCCCACTTCCCCACCCCACTCCTTCACCTCCCAACCCTAGCAGTGCTGAAAGCTGTAAGGGACTTGTCAGGTGCACACACAGTCATGAAGCAGAGATGCTCCGGGATGTAGCAAAACCCTGCAGCATTAAATATCCTGGCACTGATTCAAATGGTAATATCTGAAATGCATTTTTTTCAGAAGGAACAGGGCAGGTAAAGACTTCTTATCATTAAAAGTCAGAAAGAAACCTAACGTGGAATCAGTAAGAGATCCAAACTGAATATCTTTGCTAGAATTTCCTGGTGGGAGCTTTTCTACACACATTTAGAAGCTTTTATTTGCTTATTTTAAGAATGGCATCTTGGGGCTGGGATTGTGGCTCAGCAGTAGAGCGCTCGCCTAGCATGGGTAGGACCCGGGTTCCATCCTCAGCACCACATAAAAATAAAAGATGTGTCCATTGAAAACTAAAAATAAATATTAAGAAAATTCTCTCTCTCTCTCTCTCTCTCTAAAAAAAAAAAGAATGTCATCTTATCTTTAACTGAAAAATATTAGAAAAAAAGAAGACAATGGTGTCTTCCTTGAAAGGCAAACTCCCCGGGTGATACTTTACTACTATTTTAGAATGTTTACAGATGAACATGATCTAGTGTAAACCTAACACTAAGAGCTTCATAATCTATGTCCAAATCCCGTGGAAAGGAATGATTTTCTATTTCATTCTTTTCCTGAAGATAGAAACCATTTTTGATGACCAATGGAGTCACTCTCATGAGAGTTTGGTATCTACTATTAACTATTAGTAACTTACTTCCTGTCACTTGCTAGCGTGGCTATAGGTTCTAGAGGTCTGATCCGAGCATTGTGAAGATGATGATAACTGATAATTAGTAGCAGTTATAGGAGTTACTTGTTTTCCTTTACCTTTCTGTTGTTTCTACAGCCCCATCACAGCCTGTCTAAACTATCCATCCCCAGTTTGTGTCCTAGGACCAGAGACAATCACTTACAACTTGGAAACCATAGTTTGATTTTTATTTTTTCTGTGTTAGCCATGGATATAGAGAGAAAAAAGAAGAGAATGAGAATCAAAGACAGAGGGAAGAGAAGTTGGAAAGGTAGGTGGGAGGATACGTAGAGTTGAAGAAGGGAACAGGAAAGAAGGGAGAGGAGCCAGAGGCCAGGGCAGGCAGGGAAGAGAGAAATCATTACAAAACATGCAGGAGGGACCTTCCTGGAAGTGATTCAAACCAAAAGTGTCCTTGCTCGTAGGAGTGGGTCTACCTCAGCTTTAGGAATCAACGTGGCAACATCTACCCATAAACTCATGGCTAAGGATGATCTTGGGAAGTACTGGACATTCTAAAATTCAGATTTCATATACTCTACCTGAGTCTGATCACTTAATTAGTTTCTAGGTGAATGTATATGGCCATCTTATTTATGGCTTTTTTTAGGGTGAAGGAAGGGGTAAAATCACTGTCTTAAAAAATTCATTTTGTAATTTAGAAAATTTGAGAGGTAACAGATGGTGGAATATCAAATAAGATTAATCAGAGATCACATGAAGTCTTTGAACTCCCTTTTATTCAAATTTTCAACAATGAACTTGGTCAAAAAACTTTCGTTACCAAATTTACAAATTCTATGAAGTTAAGTATAAGAACGTGGGAGAGTTTTCAGATAACAAGTTCTAGGAATCTAAAATGCTAAGGTCTTCAGATTATTATAACCTTGTATCTCAAATTTAAATACCAAATATAATTTTAAGAGAAACATTTTTTTAACTCTTCTTGCAAAACTTCAAAGACTTAACAATAGACCACTCAGTTACTCTTAGAGGGTATTTTCACTTCATGATTCATCCAAAGAAACCCAATGTATTCATACTCCTTCACCCTTTTCTTTTATAATTACACAATTCTATGCAATATCAGGCAGACTTTCTTATAAAACCAGCTTGTTCGGCAGAATGGCAGTATCACCATCAAAACACAAGAGATCTTGTTCCAATTTTAAAAAATCTCATGGCAAAACTTTTTCTGTGGGCCCTTGTATGATATCAAAGTCCAGTCTATACTCACCAAGAGCTTGCTATTCCTGTCCTTCCAAACACATCCACCATGACTGCACAAATGAGACACTCAATTCCATTGTAGAACAGACCGAGGAACTTGCCAGAGCAAGTCCCTGTGTGCGCACACAGACCCACACCCATGTCAGTCACTCAATTCTGATTCTCCAGGTTCCCTGCAGGATCTTCAGACTAAGGCTGAGCTGCCAGAGCAGTAAGGAGGGAAGGAGCGTCAACTGATGACAGACAAGTTCAGATTTACAGAGGTGAGGATATCAAATGACTGAAAAGCTTTCAAAATAAACATCATTTGAAGGTTTTTTAGTTTCATTTTCTAGTTGCTATGCTACATTCATATTTCCTAATTCTCTCAATTTTAATAATCTGAGAGAATTTTTGAGTCATCAACTTGTTTTGACTAATATAGTCCTGAACTTTCAGAAATACACACATATATTTAACCTTAGAGCATTTGATTGTCTGTGTTAGTTAGCATTCTGCTGCTGTAACAAAACACCTGAGAAAATCATTTTAAAGTAAGAAAGATTTATTTTAGCTCACAGTTTTAGAGCTTTCAGCCCACAGAATTGTTTGGGGGACTGTGGGGAGACAGAGTGCATGATGGAGCAAAGATGCTCACCTCATGGCATCCAGGAAGAAAAGAGAGGATTCACTTTTATAGTAAAGTTCCTCCCCTTAAACCCATTAGGTTATGATTCCTTGCATGCATTAATCCATTCATAAGTTTTAGAGTCCTAACGATCCAATCACTTCCCAAAGGCCTCACCTCTCAACACCGCTGTATTAGGGACAAAGGCTTCAACCCATGAGTTTTATGGGACATTTAAGGTCCAAACCATAACAGCATGTCTCTATGATTGGCTTTTAGGAAGCTTTGTGTACATCTCGGTGCTCATTTGCATTAGCTTTCTTTGGCTTCAAGTTCTGATTCTGTCGTTCCCTTCCCCATCCTCATTTCTATGCCTTCATTAATTTTATCTTGCTTTTTCCTCTCCTACTGTAAGTAGTTTTTGCTTTAATTTAATTGTGCTTTTTATTTTAAGCCACTTCAAATCCTCTGGGACAAGACATCATATGTGCAAGTGTCTATGTGGATGAGCACACTTTTGCAAACAGGGAGAACAAAGAATATATCAAGTTTGAAATAATCCCTTATGTAAGCAAGTCTGATCTCTCCTTCTGTCATTTATTCCAGTATTTAGTAACCCTCCATGAACCACAAACTCTTTCTTACACAGGCATAATGTGAGAAAATCAAATTCTTACAAATGGGATCATCTTTAAATACATTGAGGATGGACACTCTAAAGTTAAAGGAGGAGCTAGGGAACATTTAAATATTAATCATCGCTTCCTACAAAAACATCTTTATAGCTTCAAATATTTGCATAGATGGCTACATAAAGTTAACACAGATACAATGTGGCCATGCTATTCAGGGATTTTGGTTGCAAACAACATAAACTGATTCTCTCCCAACATGGTACAGAACTATAATTATCCCCCAAGATCTGCTTTCCCCTTTTCTTGCTTTAACAATACAACCTCTCCTGAATTGTACTGCAGCATAAAACAACCTCAGCTGAAGAATACTTCATATCTTCCCTTGTGGCTATGAGTGATCAGGTAACTAAGTTCTCAAAAATTAAATGCAAGAAAAAATTTTACCTGCAAATTCCTTTAAAAAGAAATTGCTTACCTTCTACCACTCTCTTCTTCCTTCCACAGAGTGAAATGTGGAAATGGGGCCGGTCATATAGCTTTGAATATGAAGATCAGAACTACATCCTAGAGATGGTGAACAATGAGAGAAAAGGAATCTACTTCTGTGCCTGGGGTCCAGGACACAGTAGCCTGACAGCTCTGAATTATTTATATATCTCAACTCCTCTACAACAGGAAAAATATGAGTTTGTGAGATTTTGCTACAGCATCTTGGTTTATATTTTATGCAAGTTACTGATTTAATCAGATAGTGGATGTATTGGAATTAGGTTGAGTGGCTTACAAAACAATCAGTAATATTTAAATAGGCTTGGAAAATAGCCAGTGACCAAAATCCTAGCAAGGCTTTAAAATAAATCCACTGAATGCTAGGTTTTGCCACAGCCAACTTCAAATGCTCCCTGAATATCTTCAGTTTTTGAAATCATTCTTCTGTGAATCAAAGTTTAGATGCTGGACAGAAAACTGACAAATGCCCTGCCACAATCTATCTTTAGCCAAGGAATTAACCTACATGTTCTTTTCTCCATTCTCACAATTTTAAAAAGAGAAATTTCCCACTAAGATTCAGAAATCACTCATACAACTAAAAATTGTACTCACCTTCCCAGGAGAGGGCTGGAAAGTTTCATGAGCCCTTGTATGCACTCCAAGTCCACATCTTCTGCTTCTGAATCAATTCCACGTTGATATCATGAACTGGGAACAAAATAATAACATTATTCAATGCATTCTGTATTACTAATAAGTGAGAAGGAGTAGGGACAAAAGGGAAATTAGTTAAAATGCATAAATATATAAACTGACATAGAATGAAAGGAGATATGGGTTTATGCTATGTGCTCATACCTGCAATTATCTTAAGAACAAAGTTGGATATAAAAATGTCCAGCTTTCATTATCCATCCTATGTTCCCATTGACTTGAAACAAAATTTTTGCTGATCAAGATGTAATAAGATTTGGTGGTTTACATAATCTCAAGGAAAGGTAATTATTCTTATTGCTCGCTCGTGTCTCTCTCTCTCTCTCTCTCTCTCTCTCTCTCTCTCTCTCTCTCTGAGATCTTCTTGATATGGAAAAAAAAAAAGACTTACCAAATTAAGAGCTGTGTACCAGGTTCCCAGGGCTCTATTGATCTGCTTTAATGTGAAGACCACATATGAAACAGCAGCTTTAATTGATGTCAGCCCCTGATGAAACTTAATATTATCCATGAGCTGGGCAAAATGTCTCCTCCACTGGTGGATCTGGAAAGTAGAGTGGATACATGGTTGTAATTACCACCCAGGCAGCTTTCAAATTGTGTGTCATGGGGTTTCTTGGCATAACTTCCTGACTCTTCTCCTATTGAAATGATTTGGTTTTCCCCCTCTATTTTTGGCACTATTTTAAAAATTTCTAAAAAAAATTCACAACATTTTTGTAAAAATTTCTAGAATAATACAAACATTCTCTGATGCCCTTTAGCCATTTTCCTTCTTATGTCTATCCTTATCTATTATCCATCTCCTTTTCCCCCTCATTCTTCTCCTTCTCCTTCCTCCTCCTGTCTCCTTTATTTACCATTTGAAAGCAACCTATACACATGATATTCCTTTACTGCAAACACTGTATTGTATGTTTTCATAAAATATAGAGTTCTTTTACCTATTCATGGCAAGATTGTAAATCAGGAAATTAGGATGGATAATATATCATCTAATTCCACAGACCTCATTCAGGTGTAGTCAATTCTACAACAATGAACTTCATAACAACAAAAAGTCCAAGATAATTGACTGCATTCAGCTGTTCTGTCTCTTTAACCATATTTAATTTGGAGCAGCATATGAGTTTCTTCCTTTGTTTCTCATGATACTGATTTTGAAAGGTAAACATCAGTTATTTCATAGACTATCCCTCTATGTGTTTGCTTAATAGTTCTTCGTGCTTAAATTAAAGTTATGTTTTAAGGATAGAAACACAATAGAAATGAGACTAACTCCTTACTGCTTAGTATCGGGAGACACATGATGTTGATTAGACCAGCATTGGCATTGTTAATTTTGACTATTGGGTTAAGGTTGGTTTCTACTATGGTAGCAGATCTGTTTTCTCCATTATTTGTTTATTTTTCTATTTAAAAAATCAATTGTGGTATTTATAAATCTTGGGACTTTTGTTTGTTGTGAGATGGGGTCTTGCTTTGTTGCCCAGGCTGGTCTCTAACTAATGGATTCAACTGATCCTCCCACTTCAGCTTTCCAAGCAACTGGGACCATATAGCTGTGTCACCATGACTGGTTAGGAAGCTTGTTTTTTGTGCAAATGTAACTTTTGTATTTATTCCTTTTACAACCCTTAATCTGTCCCCTTTTTAAACCTTCATTATCTTTTTTTCTCCTTTTGGGTGGTCCCTATAACTTACTACCTATAAAACAATCAATGACTTTATTAAAATTTTCCTTTTCCCTGAGTTCTTTCCTCCCAATTTTTAGTTGTCCTAATTCTATTTTGTCAGATGATGCTTGAAGAACACTGCACATATCATACAACACAAAATTATTCTCCCCTCGCCCTCCTCTATCTTAATCTCATGTCAACAATTCTTTGCTCATGACCTACCATTTTGCTGAAGTTTTAGAAGCCAACTCCTACCTAATTGAAGTTCATCAGAGAGTAGATTCTTACTGATAATATGATGCATGTACAATCCCTTGATTTCTTGAATGTTTAGAATTGTTTTTCTACCTGCCCAATACTTGAAGTGTGGATTTACTGAATACACAACTCCTGGTTCACTTCTTCACACCTGAGGTTCTAGAGGATGCTTCTCCACGGCTGCCTTACTTTGTGTGTTGTTTCTGAGACAGCGGATACTAATATAATTTATTTTATATTTTCCCTAGAGGCCCTCAGGTGTTTTCTTTGTCTTTCATCTTTCATCATTCTTCTGAGACGTGGCTGAGAGCTGATCCTTTTGTTGCATTTTCTTGGTAATAAGCGGACCCTTTTGAAATGTGCATAGAGATCTGATTCCAGAAAGTATTATTAGAGTTTCCTTTTAGCACATAAAAGATATTGTTCAACTCTAATTCAAGCTACATAATTTCGGATGAGAAGTCGCCTCTTATTCAAATTACTACTCACCTTGATAAGATTTGTCTTGCTGCTTCCACAATTGTTTCCCTATATTGGCTTTAGGCCATCTGACTATAAATATACCTAAGCATCACAACTTTTTTTCATTTGTTTGTTTGTTTTTTTGTCTTTTTCCTGCTTGGCATTTGGCAAGTATCTCAAATCTTTACATATACATCCATCATATTTCAGAAAATTTCAGCCACTAATATCTTCACACACTTTTGTTCTGCCCAGTACTTTCTCCAAGTATCAAGGCAGTCTGGTTGCATATATGTTTTATTTTTAGATATTACCTGACAAGTTCATGATATTCTGCTTATTTTTTTTTAATATTGCCTTTCCTTATTGTTTTCAAGTTGGGTGGTTTCTGTTGATTTTTCTTAAAGTTCACAGAGTATCTCCTTTGTCTTCTCCATTCAGCTATCTGGGGAATGTGTTATTCCAGTCCTCAAATTTGGATGAAGTCACTTTTATCCATTTATCTGCTGAGACTTCATATCTTTTAACATATTGAAGGTATGTGTTCATTTATATCATCAAAGATATTTATATCGGATTCTTTAAAATTCTCATAAGCTAATTCTAAAATCTGGGTTATCTTCCATTTGGTCCCCATTGGTTGTTCTATCTTTTCATTGATGGGTTGCATTCTCCCTCTTCTTCACATGTCAGGCAATTATGAATCATATCCTGAACATTTTGATGTTAATTTGTAGAGATTCTGGATCCAGTTATTTTTATGATGATTGTTGGTTTTTAGGGTTGGTGGTGCTTTGTTGTTGTTGTTGTTTGTTTTACCAGGTGCTTAACTTGGTTGAAACTGCAAACATATTCCTAGGACTCAGATCAAATTTCAAACAAGAATTTTATTTTTGAGCTCAGCTCTTTTGAATGGACTCTAAACATTCATGGTTAATAAGTGCTTCAGAAATATGAGCAGATATAAATCAAGTAGTCCCTCTCTGGCTGTTTCTCATCTGAGCAAATCCTTCCCTTCCCAGGGGATCTAGTTATAACAATATAAATCCTTCAGCTCTTCCAATCCTTCAGAAAGACTGCGGTTCTCCCACCAACATCCCCAACAACTGCACCTTCCTCAGGTCAAAAGAACAAAAGCAAGCACTTCATACCATGCAATTCTTGCTTCCAAGCATGAACTCTGCCTCCCTCTGTTCTCCTTTTGTTCTCTTATACATGTTGTCTTTTGTGTTTTTTCAGAATTTGTCCTTGTCATCCCACATGGGTGATGCCATTCTAAGCCATTACTGGAGGTAGAAGTAATGGATTATGCTTTCAAATATTGTTTCTGTTTCATTTTTTAAAAATTAACATATTGTAAGACTCCAATTACATGTATGTTGTTTTCTCTTTGATTATCTTTTATTTAAACCACTTTATTCCTGACCCTTTTTTTGTTTTTTTTAAATATGATTTACACTATCTTCTACATATTTCTGTTTTTCTGCAGTGCCTTGTGTATTGTTTCCAGTTGCATTTATTCTGCTTAATCAACCTGTAACTTAATCTTTATTTCTGATATTATTTTATTACATTTTTTGGAATGCAGTCAACTCTTGCTTTATTGCAAGAATTTTCCTTAATTGAATTGTTTGGATTTTAATTCTCAAGATAGTTTAAAGGTAAGTATAGATAACTAAGGAGGGGGGAGGAAAGCAGGGGAGACTGTTTTGTCCACCACATCCGTCTGTAACTTTCACCTGGTCATTTAGGGTGGTTTGTGAGATTACAGGTTTGAGATAACAGTCAGTAAAGGATAGGTTTCTTTACTCATTTGGGGGTATGGAGTAATAGGTGAGAGGAGAGTCAGGGGAAGGAGTGTTAAGTCCCACTGTATTTTTATCTTTAATCTTATAGAAGTCATAATTTTTTCCTCTTGCTCATTTTCTCCTTTTCCACTCAATCTCCAAAAGGCAGCTCTTCATTCCTTCTCTCACTATCCCTGAAACGTTACCTTCCCAAAACTCATGTCTGAGGTCCCAAACGCATTTCGCCTGTTTTCCCTGAGTCTATGCTCTGAAGGCGCACACTGGATCCGGGATTTTCCATGTGCACACTGGCTCTCTTGTTATTGGATTTTGATCAGTTTAAGCTTGCCATAAACGATACTTTCATTTTCGTGCAGTGTTTTTCCAGAGCTTTCCTAATTTTACCCAAATGCTTGTGTCAAGAATGATGGGAGGTAATTTGTCGGAATTCTGTGTTTCTCTACTTACTGGTGGAACTTGAGGTGTGGATGCTCTCTGTTTTCTAGTTGTGTTTTGGGTAAGAGCTTTATCTAGTTTTGTGTTTGCTTGTTTGTTTGAGAAGTTAAGAGAGGTGACTCCACATGTCTTCCTTGCTTCCATTACTCAGAGCTGTGTACTTATTCTATTCACAAGGAAGGAGAGCCTTAATTAGAGCACTTAAATATACTGCTTACTCTGCGGGTGAACAAAGGAGTAGCAGAATTCTTAATTTTTGCTGAAGATTTGTGTAACCCCATTCAGCAATAACTAGGATGAGATCAGAGTGGATCTACTGTGAGGCAGACTCAGGTCACGTTTATCACTTGACCATTTACGCTCTCAATCTGGAGTTTCTTTCTGGGTCTTTTTGAGACTATGTTAAATAACCCTCAAACCTCTAAGACTGATCCTATTAAATGGCCCTGAGTCCCTTTGAGGAAGACTGAGGGAAGGTTCCTGTCCCACTGTGATGCCATCGTGTGGCTCTTCTCTATGGGCACCTGGGCAGCCACTTTATGAGGACTGTGGCTCTGTGAACTGACTCACACTTGGGAATTTGATAAGAAGCTGTGCTTCTCCAGGAGATCTCAAAAATTTGTTTGTTTGTGTTTTGCTTAAGTTGTGCAAATCAGCTGCTTGGTAAACTACCTAATCTCTAGGGCCTCATGATTAGAAAGTCATAAGGGAAACTCACTCTGTCAGAACATTTGATTGTCTGCCTTGATACTAATGTATGAGTACATTTTCCACCATGTTTCCAGTGACCACATGTCAGATTTTTATTAATGCCTGACATCTTACACACGTTAATACCATTGAAATCTGAAAGCCCACTTCTACTCC